GAAGAAGCTAGGCTTCCTCATTTTTTAATACTGAATTGTAAAAACAAAGCAACCAAAGACCCAATGGCAGTGCAGAGACAATTTATGAGCAACCTGGAATTTACAGGGAATGTCTTTCCTCTTCCATAACTGAATAAGCTACAGCTATAGCTTCTTGCTACAGCTATAATTTATTAAGCCACCACAATACCTTCCATTTTCTGCCATAATCTTGACTGTTTAAAAATTACTACAGTAGTTTTACCTATTCTTTAATCTAGAAATATCATTATTAAAATGTTTGATGCAGGCTACAGTGCATCTATCATTACTTTTAAAAGTTAATTAGATTAGATAAAAGAAATAATTACATTTGCATTTTTATCCTGTTTTTAAACTTCCAAAGAAGATCACAACAGTGTGCCTGTGGGCAATTAAAAACAGCATAGAGCAGTGAAATAGAAAAGCAAAAAAGGTCTGATTTTCCTGGCTAATTCATGATTGAAGATACAATTACAAAATATTTTAAGGGTTTGCTGAAGCTGGGGGCTATTCCTAGACTTCTAAGCTTTGTTTATAACTCTCATTTTCTTTCAAGGGAGTATCTGATCTGTGAATACCCTGCCAATAGATGTATCAAATTGCTTTTAATGGCTTGATTTGGTCCTGTTCAGAGCTTGCTGGAAGGAGATCAGTTTCGTGATCAATAAAAAAAAAAAAAAAAAAAAAAAAAAAAAAAAGAGGAGGTGGTGAAGGGAGAGTATTCCTCAGTGCCAGAACAGTGGCACTGCAATGGCTTTTCACTTGTCAAAGCTAAATACAATTTTACAACAAGAAGCACCCTAAGACAGGGAGCTGGACTGGCAGTGACTAGACTGCAGCTTATGCGCTTTCAGCAAGCTCCCTGCTACGAGGTTTAACCTGTCTCCCAAAGGCAATAAATGAAAAGCTCAGCTCTTAAAATTGGAGGTCAGTTACATACTAAATGATGAAGCATATCTTTAAATCTATTTCTACTATTATTATCCTAGCAAAAAATTAATTAACCAGGTCAGGGAGGCCACAAAGGCTAATGTGGAATGTAATTATTCCTGATCTTTAGATGCGTACTTCACATGAAGAGATGGCCCTTATTCAGCTCACCAGGTAGCTGAATTGTCAGTAGTTAATCACTGATAACAAGACAGACTCATTGGTTCAGCCTCTTAAATTTTAAGTTTGGTCCAAATAATTCGTATTCAAGGACAGTTTAAATAGTTGTAATTTTTATGCTGTTATTCCTTAGTTTGTTTACATCTCACAGTAATTATGCTCATTCATTTTGACAAAGTAGACAATACAAGAAGATTGATATTAACCTATGTGACATGAATTTGTACATTAAAATCAGAAAAAAAAAAAGAATCAAAGAATCTTTTAAGAATACGTTCTAGTGGCGGAATTAGGGCAGAATACTTTGGAGAGCAAAGAAAGTACATTTTATAACACAATGGAAATTACATCTGATTCAAAGAGAAAGGGAAAGGTTCTGCAATGGCATTTACCATAGTACAGAATAAAGAACTAAGGTGTTGGGAAATGGAAAAAGCAGCTGGGACTTGCTTTCACTGTGATGATCATCAAAATRTACCAAAACTCTCCAAATACCTATGTTGCTTTCCCATGCTATGTTTGCTGATAGACTGGCAGCAAAGTTTTAGATGCAACAAGTCTGGAGCAAAGTGCTCCAATAAATAGATCTTAGAGAAACTAAATGAAATAAGGTGTTTYAAATGATTATAAAAAAGAAAAGTATAAAGCCACAATGTAAATTTCTCAATTAACACATCTYGGGGTAAAACCAGACACTACTGGGGCACCTTTACCAAGTCCCAAGAACTAAAGTTGGAATATAAAGTTTTATTAGAAAATTGTTTCCCCCGTGAAACTCCGGAGTGTGTGATTCACTTCATCTCACTTCAGATCTCCACACTATAGGCATCCGCATCCTTTAGAGKTAATGGAGAGAAACAGCCATTTTCGGCAACAATTCCCCTGACATATTTCAAGTGCCTAATTTAGGACAAGATGAATTGCATCCTACAACTATTTACACCCTGCTTCTCTCTTTCTCTATAAAAACAATATGGGAAGTTAATTGGGCTGCAGAGTCCTTACTGTAGATAGCTGCTCCTGATGGGATGAATCCCAGTTGAGGCCCCTCCGTGCTGAGCTCTGCTCCGGGACGCAGGGCACTGCTGCGGTCTGCATCTCACCTAGGGCCGCCAGGAGCTGCAGGTTCCTGCAGCGCTCAGATCCAATTTGACAGCCACAACCCCCTTATGAACTGCCACAGAGACCCAGCAAGTAACTGCTACCACAGGCAAGTCCTGGCTAACAGACCTGCCACCAAATTTGTCAGCACAAACAGGCAAAGAGTGGCTCATGAGCGAGYGGCTATGAAGGCTGCTCTTTAGCCTGAGGAAAGAGCCTGAGCCTCCTCCATCATCCTAACAAGCCTTTCTCAGAAAGCTCCTTGTAAGACCAACATGCACTAGAGAGCCCTCGTGCTTCACAGGAGCGCCCAGGAGGTTCCTAAGGATGAGGAGATGCCAATTAACAGTCTGCTCCCCAGGCTGGGACAGAAAACATGCTGCAAGACACTCCTTAGAGGCATCTAACACACACAAGCAGCACTTGTTCCATGTAAATAAATATATGTATAAATGTAAGTATGGATCCTGAGCTACCAAGGAACTATGAAGTAAAAATAGCTTATGCTGGCAAAGATTTTAAAACAAGTGCATTTAGGGAAGGGTCACCAAGGAATAGTTTAGCTCACATGAACAGAACTGTCATTTGCACCAGTTAAGCACTTGTTTCAATACACATACAGGAAAGGATGCAAAAGAAAACTTGTGGCATTTTGCTCTATGTGTTCCAGTTACAGCAAAATCATTTGAGGGAGAGAGGTTTTTACTGTTTTATTGCTCCAGCAGAGCTTGAACTGACCCTTAAAATCTGAAAGCCAGTCAGCATGGGAGTTTATTCCCATGAAAGAAGAGATGAGACTGGGAACACCAGTAAAGCTCCTGTCGCTGTTTCTTCCCGTTACCTCAAACTGAAATAGATTAAAGAAGATTTTACAGTGACTCTCCAGGAAATCGATGGATTTCTAATTGCCATAAGGAGGGCAGCAACTGGTATTCAGGTAACATTTGTTTCAGGTAGTATGAGCTGAGAGCAGTGTGTGCACTTTCTCCTTAGAGAAATCTCTTTGAAGCCCAAATCTTCCCTTGCAATAGGAAGGACAGTAAAAGCACAGCAAAGAACTCCACATTTTTGCCTTTCTATAGTCTTTTGGCTCTTGTAATTTATCAAGACCAGCAATCGTAAAAAGGAAGTTTCTGAAGTTATGCTATGATAATACAAACCTGAAAAATACTATGTGGGGTGCTATAAAATCTGATCCAAAATTTTTTCCCATCTTAAAATTTATTTATCTCACTTGAAATTTTTGGTGATTTCCACCATCCTAGGGCTCCTGTGTCTTTCTGATTAGCACTTGGCTCACGATGCTCTTGGTAACAGTTGGGGATAGAGAGGAGAAATTACTAAGACTTAAATGACTTGCAGACACCCTCAAAAAAAAAGACAAACTAAAACTTGAAGTGTCTTTACATTTGTTAATAGAGAACAGGATACTTCTCAGTAAAACTTCATCACACTCTCCAAATAGATACAAAAATGACCTAGTTATGGTTCCTCTTTTTATGTCATAATTTTTAAAGACATTTTAGGAAATTAAAAAAATGTTGCCCATGCAGATTACTCTTTTTGTTCAACAGATTCAGATATACTTCCTTCTTTGCTCTTATGCCAAGTAAAGATTTTTTTTATGTGCAGTGAAATGATTCATTGCCTGTGAAAGTCAGATTTGCAAATAACTCCTAGAGAAGGTGATGCCTTTTTCACTTTCCCTACTGCTTCAGAYCTTCTGTCCCTTACATACCCCTAACACGAATACGCAGCCCTCTTTTCACAACTGCAATCTTCCAATAGGCAAAGACAATAATGATGCTTTGAATTCAATCATATCTCTCAGCCAAGGTATCAGCACATTTATAAATGTTACTTAAGCCTGTTAAAGTCCAAGTGAAACTGCATTATAAAATACCTTTGCAAAGGTATTTACGAGCACATTGAGTTTGGGATGAGGGAAGGAAAGGCTTCATTTTTGACATATAAGATTAGGGAAAAACTGATCCCCCAAACTTATAAGAAATGACTGGCAGCACAAGGAACTATCAGAGCAGAATGAAATATTTAAATTAAAGAACAAGCCCGTGGAAATGCTTTCAAGCAAAATGGGAAGCAGAAAAGGCCATCCAGTCACCTGCCAGCAATGCCGGTCCACACATCACCTCCCACTTGCATAGGGACTTGAGAAACGATTTATGAGCACAGAATTAAAGCAGGCTCTGAGCAGTGGCTCAGACATCACAACACATCCAGAACGCTCCCAAACCCAGGACGAGATAGTTACTGAAAGGGACCGTGGCAGACACAGACCTGCAGGTCACCGAGCATCAGCAGAGTGCTGCTGCTGCAGTGCCTGTTGTCCTCTTCCAGAGCTGTCTGCTTTCCTTAATTAAATTGAAAACATTCCATGCATTTTCCATAATAAGCTTTTGCTTTTAAAGCCAATTTTGCTTTTGTAGAATAAGGAAATCTATAAACAATAACTGAAACTCTGTTTTTACTTCATAGAATATAAATCAAATTGATTGCAGATTTTGGAGTTAAATGGTAAGACTTAAGAGATAATTCATAACTTTCAGAAAAAGACTTTGCTTATTAAATAAAAGCTCTTTCCACCAAAAAGATGTTTGACAATAATTCTCAAAGGCACAAAGACCCTCCATAAAGASCATCTTTACTGAGGCTTATTAGTAAAGCATGTGGCTGCTTTATTTTAGATCCTTCCCCCTCCATAAATGGAATTTAACTATAATCAGAAGAGAGCAATAAAACACACTGACCTGAATTTGTTGCTGCAGTAGATTGATTTTGTGCTGCTGTTGCAGAAGTTGCTGCTGTTGTCTTGCAATCTATTAGAAATAAAATTTCCATTAAATTAAAATACTAATATTGAAACTTCAATATTATTGAGTGGAAACTTCTTAATAGTTACTCTTTATTATATGTTTACTGAGCATCTTTTTTTTTTTTAAAAAAAAGACTACTGCAAAGGTACCTGTACATCTCACGTAAACACACCTCAACAAACCAAAACAATGATGCCAACAGGATGTAAACAAATGCAATATGCCAATCTAGCTGTCTAGTAAAAAATACATATTTTAAGCACATAGGCCTCAACTCAGCAAAGCACAGAAACATAGGGTCTTGCTGTGTGCATGTGAATAATCTCATCACTATTCAACAGAGCATTTAAGCCTGTGGTGAACTTTGGCTACGATGCATTACTGTTAGCTACAACGGGAACGAAACACATGCTTAACATTAAGTGCTTTGCTGAATGGCAATGGGATTATTCAGGTGATAGGGTTAAATACACATTTTCCTGCTTTGCCAATGTGGAGCCTTAGCTGGTATTTACAGATGTTTCACTATTCAGCACAAGCATTTAGGGCAAGCTTCCCTAACTTCATCCCCAAGGAGCAGCACATTGCTTCTCCTGCAAGCCTCAAAATCTTCCTTGGCTGTGCTCAAGGTGGCGGGGTCTTATTCTGTGTCAAGGACAGCAGTACTTGATGCTCGGTAGCTCATCCTCAATGCAACCCTGCCAAGTAGACAGCCATTCTTACTCTCCTTTTGCCGATTCAGTAAGGGATCTGGGAAGGTCAAGGTTTAATGTATCCACTCTCTGCCTGTGGTGGAAGGATGCAAAGGTGCAGGATAGGAAGGACAGGGGGACTAAGCAGGGAGAAGCTTCCGCCTCGCTCCTCCCTTCCTGCCTGGCCTGCAGAGGCAGCTCTGGGAGCGGAGGGGAAGGGGCTGCAGCGGTGCCAGCGGCAGAGGGGTCGGAGCTGCTGGGGAGCCAGAGCAGCTGGAGCCCTGCATGTGACGGACCCGGCCCGGCAGGCTGAAACAAGGCTTGGATTTGTGTTTCCTAGAACCCCCAGCTCAGCAGTTTTGCTATCTTCATTTCTTAAGTATAATTTCCCCTCCTATAAATATTTATTGAGGGCAGAGAAACCACATAAAGCAGCATGAAGTTGGTGACAAAGGTAATCCGGTCACTTGAGTCCATCGTTTCAGCCCTGGCAATAACCCTCCTTGTCGCCTCCCCTTTCCTCTTCCTAGCATGCTTGCCCACTTTGTCTCTGATGACATATATGGCTTAATAATATATTAAACGCATATATTTTAATTTTCGGAAAGCTAAGTAATACATTTCTTAGATAAGGAAATTACAGGAAATGTAGCCAGGTTCACTTGGAAATAAACAATCCTGAGTGCAGGCCGCTTTGATAAAGCACCTCATAAGGAGTCAGTAGGGACACACTGCAGCTAGTACCTGTGACAGAGATCGAGTTTGTTATTTCCTCAATCACTGCGGTTAGCAGCAGCGCCTGTGCTTGGAAAAGCAGCTATAGTGCTAAGTCTGCTACAGAAACACCTGTACGAGTGCCTGAGCAGCAGTTTTAATTAGTAACATGCTGAATGCACTATTCCACCTTAGGACTGGAGTGCCTGTCACTGAAGATAAGTCCTGGCAGGTTTCTGTCCACTCTGTCCCTGCTGCTTTTATCTCAGAGAAGGCATTTGAAAAATAATTGTGATATTCAGTTCAGAAAGGAATTACTTGTAATTACATGTTGTAGCTGGATACCAAGTGGAACTCTATCACGCTCAGTCGTTCTGACAGTGGCATGTCTTTTCAGCGTTAGGCAGCGTCCTAATTTGAGTGTTGTTTGCAGTTGCTGGTGACCTGGCTGCTGCTTTGCAGAGTAAAGCGGAGCCAAGGCAGTGCTGAGTGAAGGCTCCCATGTGCTCAAGTTTGGATTRCTGGTCAGCTCGCCTTGCTCACCATTTGCACAACATAATGCCATTTGAACATTCATTTCCTGATGAAAACCAGAAATGCACCACCCGACATCTACTGTCAGTGGTTGCTCTTAGACTGAGCAATACTCTGTTAGAAAATGTATGCAATGCACTGCGATGCAATTACCATAGCATAGTCTAGATGTATAGGCTTGACACAGTAAAGTAGGGTACACAAGCACCATGTGGTTCAAATTCTGAATTTTATTTGCCTATCGGTTGAGCTACATGCTCGCTTCATTGAGCATGACAACCTAGTTTTAAGTGTCATTTAATTTTCATTTTGAAATATAATTACAAAGTGTTCACTGTAAGATATCACTCGTCTGCAAATGTGTCAAGATTAATTTGTGCTAGCTTATTCACAAGTGTCAATAGTTAATTACTGTGTCATCTCTGGATGGCTAAATGACATTCTAACTTCTGATTTTTTACAGTGTTCCTTTATGTTATTTTCCATTAGGGGATGAGTCCATATTCCTACATGTGGGCAAATACTTAAGCGCATAAAATACCAGACGTCACAACTCATTAAAATCAACAGAGCATATATTGCTGTATATATCCTATAAAATACATTTAACTGAAAAGATAATTCTAGTAATAATGTCAGATTCCTAAAAACCACACATTAATTTAGATCTGTCTAATCTAATGCCTAAGGGACTAGTGCATGGGATCACTGCTGTCACACTTTTGTACAAAGAGAACAGCTATTCGGTCAATTGGTCTTTTAAAATGAGGTTGGTTGCTTGTGGGTTTTTTTTTTTTTTTTTTTTTTTTTTTTTTTTTTTTTGAGGGGGGTTGGTTAAGATATTTGAAGGTTCTGGAGTTGTTTATGGTTTTCTACTCAGTTATTTTCTTGACACAAAGAGGAAAAGTTAAATAACGCTTACACTCTGTTTTACTGGTAACTCTTGAAATTGCAGCTCAGTGCAAGCAGCAGGAACTGCAAAATCTATCAAATGAAATCACCGTAGGAAAGAAATTATTTTAATTTCTACACCCACTTTTCTCCCAGGGTCCTATAATATTTTTCTCTTTACGGTAAAAAGAGCAATTTCTGAAGATATTTAAGCTCTCCTTAACAAAAAAAGAGATGAAAGGAAGCACAAAGCAGAACAACCTTTCTGACAGGCATCCTGCACGAAACGCTCTCACAGGTTGCTAGCCGGGAGCCTCACCTGCTCTTGCTGTTGGCGAGCAAGGTCCATTTGCTGCCGTTGTTTTTCAATTTGTGAAGCTGCCAGCTTTTTCTGCTCGTCGTGGGCAGCCAGGAGCTGCTCCCTTAAGCTGATCAGCTGGGTGATCATGGTAGAGAGCTGTCGCTCTTTCTCTGCCAGGCTTTCCGGGGTACCTAGAAGTGCAGGAGAGATGTACTGTAAATAACAGGTAGACAACAGTTCCCTAACATTCACAAAAAACATGAATGCTTATTTCAAGTGGCAGCTTGAATATACGTTTTTCTAGCAAATCCCCAAACATTTTAGCACATAGCTTTGCCTGTGCTCTAAGCAGCGGTCTGAAAAAAAACTTGCAGCCGAGGAGAGACTGAAATAGAGCATTTCTTTCTTCTGACAGGAGTAATTAATGATGCACTGTGTACAAATCCCTGTATCTTTCCATCTAAATCTGCCCAGTSTGATTAATACATTCTGTATTACTGTTTACAGTTTATCAAACACTGTTTTCTTTCATTTTATATATTGTGGGGTTTTTAATATGCAAAAATGTTGAAATGGATATAAAAAAGATGCTGTTCAGTGAAAAAAGAGGTTTAATAGTTTATCGATCATTTCTCTAAAATGCTCGTGTACATGGAGGGTCATTTGAGTAATGTAATCTTTGGTTATGGAATATGTATTAAAAATGAGCTATACTTGTCCCTAAGAGAAATTGCCAACCTGAGAAAATGGCTTAAAAATTTTCATTTAACTTTCAAAGTTTACTCCATAGAGAGTACTTAATTAATCTGAAACTACGGTACATTTATTCTTTGCACTAATGATGCTTAGCAGTCTGTTTATGGGTAAATTGCATGGGTCTCCTAAGGAAAGAGCACAGGGTTCTTTTGCAAACCCATCCCAAAACATTCTGTCTTCCGTGCGGACATGCTGATCTGTGGCAAGCAGCAGTGTCAGCTCCGGTACCAATCCCGTGAGCGTCGCAGACTCGCAGTGCTGTAACAGGCAGTATCATTAGGCAAGTTCATAGGCAGCAGTTCAGGGACATGAGAAGAGCACCTGAAAGAGCTTTACAGTTGGCCATGGGATAAATGAACCAATTGCATCCTGTACAGAAGAGCTGAGAGCTCGAGAGGAAGCCAAACCAATTAAGACCTAGTCAAGCCTGTTATTCTGCCCCAATGATACGAGAAGTGAGACGAGAACACAGAGGGTATTAGCGTCTTTCCTTCCCTCCATTCACACTAGAGGACTGTGATAAAGAAGTCACGGGACTTTTTGAAGAGGAAGAAAATGTGTGAGGAACAGGACCTGGGAGGGAATGGAGAAACTGTCACCAAAACTATGACTCCACCTTCTTCCCAGGGGTAAGATGGATATCTTCTAGGGAAGAGAAGAAAGAGATCGACAGTTTTCATAAAGAGAGGGAAAGCCAAACAGTGTCCTGCCAGGCAGGTCACAAACTCAGGAGCTCTGCTCCTTAAAGGGCGCTGTGAGGGAGCAGTGCTGTTCTCAAACACATTCACTTGCAAAGTGGCATATAGGAAAACCTCAATGTCCACATTTATTTCTATGGGAAGAGAAACTGCACAGCTTAAGTCAGCCACTCTAAACAAGATGTAGCCATTCTTTGGAACAGTTCGTAATTGTGTTTTACAACATAATTCAAGTAATAAAAATATTTAATTTCTTAGACTCTACTGTACTTCTAAAACAGTTTGCACAAACCAATGTTGAGTACCCTGCAGTGAAAAATCTTAACTCAGTATACACATGACACAGGCTTCTGCTTAACCAAGAAATAGGTCTAACTTCTCAAGTCTTAGTGGAAATTTGAGAAATGGTCAGAAAATTCCTCATGGATCAAGGGTTCTTTTAGTGCTTTTAAGTACGTTATTGGATATTAAAATTTATTTTCATAGATAAAAGATTGTAGTAGCAAAGAAAAACCTACTAACTCACTCACTGTACCTAGGAAACATCAATTATTCCTCGTTTTGGGGAGTCAGTGTGCAGCAACCTGCTGCCTCAGATGATACTTATTGCCATTCACTGCCACCTGGGAAACCAGAGCTGGAGACTTTCACATCTGTCAAGCTGCTTTGGAGCGGGGATGCAGCCGCAGATCTAAGAGTCATAAAATATTTTATACACCCAAAGCAGATATCAATCTCCTGCTCTGTTTTTGTATTATTCTGTACATGGACAGAAAGCTGTCATAAAGGATGCCTCCTAAGCCTGCAAAAGTTGATTATTTTATTAGTTAAAACTGTTCAACAGAGTTGCAGCAAATGCATAAGGTCATTTCCTTTTTTTTTTAATTTTATATGTTAGCAGGCACATGTAACCGCTAGTATTCCGGAACTTATAGTAATTGAGTTTGTTCTCCCCAACTCTTCAAGAGAGGCACATCTAAAATGCTGAAACAAATCATCCCATTTACCATGCTCTCCTCTTTAATTTGCTGTATGCCATGCAACCCAACAACAGGATTAGAAGTGATGACCACAAAATGTACACTGTGCTCCTGGAATATAATGAGACCTCCATGAAGCTGCAAGTCACCTAAATGAACAGTGCTCAAGACACCAAAAAGCCTAAACAGTATTTGGGGAGGTTTAATTTAATTTTAGAGTGGAAAATCCCAACCATTATTTTACAGTTTAAATGCCAATAAAAGACAACTTGCTCGGAACGCAGACCAGATTGAGCCCATGTGGCTGGGCCAAGGGAGGTCATCAGGAGCTGTGTGCCATCATCATCTGCTTTGCATCCGCGTACTGCAGCAAGCAGTGAGACTCCTGAAATCATTGCCAGTAAATAAACTCTTCTGCTGACTAAAAGATATATATAAATGAAACAGAAATATAGCTATCTGTAAAAAGCATTTGCCATAAAAACAGATAAAACAAAAAGCTTAGTAAAAAATTTACAGTAAATATGCCAGCTTCCATAAAATATTATATATCACAGCTCTCTTTCTCTGTTCTAATCCTATTCTCTTACTCCAAAGACAGCAGTGCATTTTTTTCCATGGGGTCTTCCTTATCCCCAAAACACATCTGTCTTGAGTTTCTCTCAGATTTGTCAGGTGGATCAGTGCTCCCCAGGGCCTGCTCCATCTGAAGTATTTTAATTTGACTAAACACCTGATTTATTTTATCTCTCCGATGAGAAAGGCAGTTTGTCTTAATAGAGCCTGTCAGCCTACAGTCCCATTCACAGCAATTTACAGGCAGCCAGGGATGCTGGAAAAGAAGAGTGCTGTGATTCTGTATTTTATCCTCCTCCAGAAAGCACCTAAAAGCAGCTATTCACTGCTACTGCATGTGGCATTTTAGAACTGAATTAGCTTTTTATTCAAGTAACTACACTTGTTGTGAATAGCTTATCTGTAAAATTGCTACATTCACTACTGATTTTATTAACCTTTGGCTCTATCACAAAATGGTCTTCAGTTAGGAAAGACCTTTAAAATTGACACATTTTTCTTAGGGGCCTTTATTTCAGTGACTTCAGATATTCTCAATTTGATCCATTGACTCCCTTTACCAGCAGTATTTAAATTTTTGAGTGTTGATGGGAAGTCAATAATGTTTAAGGACTTTTAAAAAATAAAAATGGAACAATTATTTTCATCAAAAGCTCAGGGAGGGGAAAGGTTGTTATTTGTGATAGTCCTCAGGATATATATTTTTGCCTCTGCACTAATAATCATAAACTGAAAAACAATCTTAACAGTACAAACATTTTATTTTTTCTGCTTTTTCTCTTGATTTGAGCAAGGTAAAATGGTCAAGCTGAAGAGAACCAATGCATCAAAGAGAACTATTGAGAAAGCCTGGTCACAGGTCAATCTAACCGTGAGTGAGAAAATAAAACATAGCTATAAATCTACTCAAAAAGAGAGAGGAGATGAACTAAACTCTGCCTGGAACTAAGATAACATTTAGACAGACCTCTGTTTATGGCAAAACCCTGTCTTTTGAAACATCACACAATTAAAATACCAACTGATTTCTGGTACTCAAAGTAATAGGATCATCATATTTCCTGCAGTAAAAGGCATTTTAAAAAAATCAGAAAAATCCTGCATTTATCTGCTTAGATTTAAGCATTTCAAAAAAGATTTAAAACCTAGTACCTTGTTACTGCAGATACAGAATATAGCTATACTTCCTAAATAAATCTCTGCTTTACCATCTTACAACACTTCCATTATCTCGGTTCCTTCTATTACCTCTTAATGTATATTCCGTCCATATACAGATACATCTGCGTGTCAACCTAAGAGGCTATTCAATGTTGAATTTGGAACTGCCCTTGTGGCAAGTTGTCATGATACTGAAACAGAGTAATAACTTCTGGTAACAGAAAAAATAAGCAGGAATAACAAACAACAGATTTCTGAGCCCAGTATAATTTAAACCGATCTCTTTGACACTCAGCAAAAGAAAGCAAGCTAAAATCACATAGCCTATCAAGTTAATAGCAGGCAAAATAATAGTGTCACCAATAAATGTGAAAGGCCTGAAGCTTCCTGAAGTGGGAGTCTTGGCTGTGACACTACAGTGCTGAATGTGCTCGCCTTAGTTTCCCCATGGGTAGGCAAAGAAAAATACTCCCAACCAGAGGTTTTTATGGCTAGTTAGCTAATGATTCTGAAGTGCTTGGAGATCTTTGCATGAGTCTCTACACAGCTGCAAAGTCTTCTTCAATTCTGCAATTAGCATAAAGCAGTAAAACCATCATCCTTGCTTGCATACTGCATTTGAACTGCAGTATCTGACTTCTGTCCTGTACAGCTACACAGGAAAAACAAATGAGCACAGCACAAACGGTGGCTCTTGGTGTGTTTTAGAACAAACAGGCRGTGTGGATTTTAGGAAATCAAGAGACAGAAATGCAAGAAGAAAGAGTGGACTTTGCCAGAAGCTAGGAAGGGCTATAAATCACATAACTGCAGTTCCAAAGTATCGTTGATGGCAGCAACTCAACCAACAATCAAAACTAATTTTGAATCAACCTAAGAAATTCCAGCATCAAAAACAAAAGAAGCCTTTATGCATCAATTCCTGTCATTTTTTTTTTAATTATTTCTTGATGGCCATTGTTTGGGCGGAAAGCACAAACACAATGCTAGACATGAAAGAAAGTGCATTTGATCTCCGGA